GGCACGGAAGCAGTCGAATACTGGCCTACGGAGGAGGCGGCATCGGACTGCATGCCCCTGCCCTCTCGTTTGGGCAGGTGGCCGTGACAGGAATGAGTACTTGACGATTTTTGTTTGTTGCTGTTGGGTGGCAGGTTCCAACCAATTTGGGAAGTCATTGGGTCAGGAAGTGCATGTTTCTCGGGTGATTTGGCCAGGCCCACCTCCTGCCGACGTTTGAACATTTGCCATAATTTCTCAACAATCTCTGAAGCGACAAGCTCGCCGGCATTCTGCGCAACTAAGCGTAGAATAAAGACGCCATCCTGTCGCAGATAATTGTCTACGAAGGTGAAACTGCGTTTCTTCTCGCCGGGAGACAGAGCTTCACGGAGTTTGAGAAACTTGCGAATGAAATGAATGCGGTTATTGCGGAAACTGGATTTATAGGACCAGTAGAGGAAACTGCTGGTAGCTACAGCAGCTACCAGAATGAACCAGAACCAGAGGAAGATGAATATCTTCTCGTTGAACATATTTATTGGAAGAACACACTGCACGGTGTAGCGGTGTTTGTTGGCCAACTTCCTAATCTCAAAATCACACATTGTGATCCGAGGAAAGTTGCCAGATTCCTCCCATAGATGGCCTTCAGCGATGTCGCGGAGCAGATCAAGACCGTAAAATGTGTAGTTTGTGCCGAGTATTCTGTTCATTAAAAAGAACTGCCCAACGACATTGAAGATATAGAGGGCTTTGGTGATTAGATAGAGACAGATAAGGTAGTTGCCGTATCGTTTTCCGAACCAAAGACAACAGCTGCGTGCGAGGAAGTGACGGCAACCGATGGAACATCCACCACGATATTCTCTTTGCGAGGTTAAGGCATCTTCGATGTGGCGCGCGACATAGCTGATATTGGACTTGCGCGACTCAGGATCGCGTATCATTTCGATGTCGCAGGAGACTTCCATTATACTGGACAACTAAAAAGGGATAAAATAAAATAAACTCATACTCAATTATCATAGTTTGGTGAGAGAAGTGACATAATAGCATAGTTGATACGCCGGACACCTATGAGCTTAAATATGAAGAGTCTTCGTGTCCGACCAGAAAAGTCCAAAACTATTCACTCCAGCATCCACTGTATTTGTTATAGTTCAGAAGAAGAGGATGAAATCATTGGAACAAGAATTTTATTTTCCTGAAGTTTCGGATTCTGTCGAGAATCCTTAATCATAGATAATTGTAGGATAGCCTGAGCCGACAAAGATATCACTGCGGACGCGACTGGCTAAGCATGCAGCGGCGGTGAGAAAGATAGACACCAACTCCCAGGTTGCAGCTCACACGACGGGACCTGGCCGTATTGTCATGTTTAACGAGGCCGAAATCATCGCTAGAGGTGACGGCCGCGTGAGCCGCGAGCTGCTCCACTCATGCTTCTCAGGCCCCCAGACCATTAACAAGCGCAACGATTTGCCGTTCCCATACCGCGTACTGAGACATTGCCTGAATAAGAGAATCAGTCACGTGGGAAGGGCTGGGCCAAGCGACAACTCTGACGACAGCGATTATAATTGTCGCGCAATTACCGTGCCCGCATCCAACACGGACAAGTAAGTCGCGGCAATCAATGGGTCGAAAGCGAAATGTCAAGCCGTCATCGCACCAATTAAGACCCCAAGTAATGGTGAAAGGAGCGGATAATTATAGTACTCACGCGGATGACTGCTACGAACTATAAATACCATGAAATCTATGTATGTGTCACCCCTATCCGTGCATGGCTCAGACTATCCTACCCCTACATTTGAGTAAGGCTTCTCGACAGAATCCGAAACGTCAGGAAAATAAAACCCTTGTTCCTGTGATCGCATCTTCTTCTTTTGAACTGCTTCCTGGAACTCACATATGAACTTCTACTGGCAATATGTGGTAGTCTTAGTCAGTTACTCTCTGCGATTATTGAAAACTAAATATTCCTTATACTAGCAACTGTCTGCTACCAATGAATGTTGTCAAATTCTACCTCCTCCACTTTCATCCGAAAGAATACCGTACACTGGGAGAGGTTTATTGTTAGTCTGACCTTTCGGGGAGTTGTCTCGTCTATCCATCTTCAGAGTTTGAACACTCTGGCTCTTGGGTTTCGTCTTTATGTCGCTCTTTCTACCGTGTGCGCATTCTGCCAATTCCGTCTCTCAGAATAGTAGTTGCCCAAAGGCCTGCCTGCACAATCCAGCAACAAGTACTACGGCAGAATGACCTTTACTTAAGCAGGAGAAGTCGGGTGTCATCTACCGAATTCAGTGTGGCTGCGGGGTGTGTAATTATGTTGGAGGAACCGGCCGACAATTTCTAACGCAAATGTATGAGCATAAGCTGGTTATAAGAAGATTGGTTGGAGACACCAACCCATGCTGCAGAGATGGGGCACGACTTCAACCTTAGCGTAGTTGAAATTGTGATCACACATCAGGACGGATCAAAGAGGCCTGGATGTCGACCGACTGTTCAGCAAACCACTACATGAATTTGCCTGTCCCTATGTTGTTTTAAGAAACTTCTTATCGTGGAACAGTCACGGCATGAAACA